CCCCCTCCTAGAGTAATGGAAACAAAAACAAAAATAAACAAATTGGACCTAATGAAATTTAAAAGCTTTTGCACAACAAAGGAAACTGTAAACAAGACAAAAAAACAACCCTCAGAAAGGGAGAAAATATTTGCAAATGAATCAATGGACAAAGGATTAATCTCCAAAATATATAAACAGTTCATGCAGCTCAATATGAAAAAAACAAACAACCCAATCAAAAAATGGGCAGAAGATCTAAACAGACATCTCTCCGAAGAAGACATACAGATGGCCAAGAGGCACATGAAAAGCTGCTCAACATCACTAATTATGAGAGAAATGCAAATCAAAACTACAATGAGGAATCACCTCACACCAGTTAGAATGGGCATCATCAGAAAATCTACAAACAACAAACGCTGGAGAGGCTGTAGAGAAAAGGGAACCCTCTTGCACTGTTGGTGGAAATGTAAATTGATACAGGTACTATGGAGAACAGTATGGAGTTTCCTTAAAAAACTAAAGATAAAATTACCATATGACCCAGCAATCCCACTACTGGGCATATAGCCAGAGAAAGCCATAATTCAAAAAGTCACATGCACCCCAATGTTTATTGCAGCACTATTTACAATAGCCAGGTCATGGAAGCAACCTAAATGCCCATCGACAGAATGGATAAAGATGTGGTACATATATACAGTGGAATATTACTCAGGCATAAAAAGGAATGAAATTGGGTCATTTGTAGAGATGTGGATGGATCTAGAGACTGTCATACAGAATGAAGTAAGTCAGAAAGAGAAAAACAAATACTGTATATTAACTCATATATGTGGAATCTAGAAAAATGGTACAGATGAACCAGTTTGCAAGGCAGAAATAGAGACACAGATGTAGAGAACAAATGTATGGACACCAAGGGGGGAAAGTTGTGAGGGCGGGATGAATTGGGAGATTGGGATTGACATATATACACTAATATGTATAAAATAGATAACTAATAAGAAGCTGCTATATAAAAAATAAATAAATAAAATAAAATTCAAATTTAAAAAAGAGCTTACAAGTAGAAAAAAAGAAGATTGGCACAGTGGAGGATCTGAATTTAATACTTTTGTATTGAAGTATAGTAGCTGTACCATATTATATAATTACAGGTATACAATATAGTGCTTCACAATTTTTAAAGGTTATATTCTATTTATTGTTATTCTAAAGTTTTGGCTATATATAAATTTAATCTTGCACTTGGAGGGAAAAATGATTAAATTTCTTTAGCACCTGCAGGAGCCATAAGTGTACTTACCTTTAGGTCTGGCTTTCTTATGGCTCTATTTATGATATATTCCTCATCTGTGATGAGAGGGTGATCAGGAATGAGCCGAAATGCACTGTTCAATGCTGACAGGCAGATCCACACTACCTTTTTCCAAGAGTAAGTTTGGAATTCATCCTGAGGAAATAAACACCAAAACCCCCATGAAGTTAAGAGAGGTCATCAGTCTAGAATTCAACCTGAAAAACATTATTTGAATATAATTCTGTATGTTTACAGAGTTAAACATTCTTGACAGAGTCCTATGCCTTTGAAATCTGGTAGATCTAGAGCCTTGAGGGGAAAAGTCTTGCCATCACTTACTGAGGAATCAGGATGTGAATACTGGCACACACAACAACGCTCAAGAGTCATGAGGCAGATGCTCAGGTAAGAGCTAGTTTTCCCTATTACCCTCCAACCATGGGGCTACGGCCAGATACAAATTTCACAGGGGAAAAAAAAAAAACAGGCAAGCATTCCAAAGGGTTTCTGTATGTCTCAAGGTTTAGGAGGCCAGGTCAACAGAACCATTCCCATGTTTTGAGGCTTAACAATTCCACCTCTTCCAGAACAACCTCTTTAACACGTTCTTGGGTTGGGGGGGTGTGGTTTGGGGGACTGTCACTATACTAATTCTAAAAGATTTTCACTGTCCTTCTCTTGTGCTCCCAATTATCTTCTGCCTTGCATTCTCTTAGTTCTTCTAGACTATCTTGAAGGTAAGGACCATGTTTTACCGTCCCTTATATCCCATCCACGTGGGGAATTTTGATCTGCTCAGTGAAAGTTTGATGAATGGATGGGAAAAATACTGAAAATATGAACTGAGCATGCCCAAGGATAATTGTCAAGATGTTAGCACAGGTAGCATTGAGGAAGGTATCTTCATGCGTGACCCTAATTGAAGCTGCTTCCCTTTGCAGTTCACTGATGACTCCAACACAGAATAAAACTAGAGGGAGCAGTGCTGGATTGAGTAACAGGTACCACAATGGTCCCTTAGAGACTGATGTGATAATAGTTTACTATCTGAATGGGTAAATGCCACACATAACTTCCACTTGGATGTCTGGTAAACCTTGGGAGCTAGGAAGAATGGCCAGGGAAGTCAAGCCTGGGAAACAATTTGATGCGTGGGAATGTAAGTCAGAACAAGGGATTGTCTCCACCACACCCACTTTTGCCATGAAGAGTGTCTGAGCTGACTCTGCAAAAGGCAGGGAGAAGGGTTAGTAGTTGTTGTAGCTAATCTCTTACATTGATTTTCCTCAGGAGAGGCCCACCTCCATGCCTTTGCTCCTGCTGCTTCCTCAGCCTGGAATGCTCATCCTTCTCTCCTCTCTTTAAGTCTTCATGGGGCTAGATCTTTTTTTTTTTTAAATAAATTTAACACGATTACAACAAATAAGTTTTTTCACTAGTCAATGATTTTCAAATGCATACAGCAGTCAAGACGGCCTTGCCTCTAGGAACAGCTTGCAAGTTTAACAAAACCTCAAGACCACCCACATTCACCCATGCTGTAGACCATGATGGTTTGAGTAGTTCTAAGTAGGACAACCTCTGAAGACCTACTTTGATGGGTATTAATATTTAATATCCCTTTTTAACATCACTGTTGAACTTCTTTGCCATTTGTTTGCACAGTCGTCCAGGTTTGGGCTATTTCTGCTTCATTCTGAATACCACCAGGTCTCTAGTTGCTTTGCAACTGGATCTTCTTTTTTTTGGCCACACCACACAGCTTGTGGGATCTTAGTTCCCCAATCAGGGATCGAACCCAGGCCCTGGGCAGTGAAAGAGCAGGAGTCCTAACCACTGGACCGCCAGGGAAGTCCCATGTACCCAATTCTTTAATATATTTTTAAAGTGAACAAAAGATAGTTGGATGGCAGAAGATGAGTTTTATGTATCTCTTTTATCCCACAAAGAAATCCAGGTCTGTGTACACTTAGGTTATGAAAGAAAATAACTGAACTAAAACACCATTGGGGCTGCATCTTCCCTTAGTATTATATACCACTATCATTCTTTCAATTCCCTCCAACCAAGATCAACTGATAACTTCTTCCAAGAGGTTAATATGTGCAAATGTCTGTGCCCTTGTTTTCTAACCTTACCCAAATGTATAAACTTCCTTCCCAACAGGACAATATCACAAAATATTAGAATGCTGGATATTTACACCCTGGGAATATGATGGGGATAAGTATTATTCAGTTAATACATAGCCAGCAAAAACAAGTCTAGGGCTTCCCTGGTGGCGCAGTGGTTGAGAGTCCGCCTGCCAATGCAGGGGAAACGGGTACATGCCCCGGTCTGGGAAGATCCCACATGCCGCAGAGCGGCTGGGCCCGTGAGCCATGGCCGCTGAGCCTGCGCGTCCGGAGCCTGTGCTCCGCAACGGGAGAGGCCACAGCAGTGAGAGGCCCGTGTACCGTAGGAAAAAAAAAAGAAAAAAACAAGTCTAAAATAACAAGAATTTTTTTAAAGGTACTCAAATAAGTCTCAAATTTTAATAAGATCCCCTATAAACGCATTTATTTGCTACTGAAAATTGAAACAGCACGTCAAAAATTTTTATTACAATTCAACATGCTGTTCTAACAATGCTGTGGTCAAGCCACCCAACGTTTTCTTCACTTTCCTTCCACACAAGTTAATTTGTTTCACAAAGTGGAACTGAAATATATTCAAGTCATTCAAATGCAAGCTACATAGATTCCTTATAAGTTACTGTATTAAGGTAGTAAAGAGATGCAAGAAAAATGGACATCACAGAACTTGTAATATAGGTTATCAAAATATTGGTGCACAATCTTTCCCAAGCTTCATAATGATCCTAAAATTACCAGGAATAAAAAACAGTACAAGAATAAGGTTTATGGCTCCTTCGACTCCATGTCATAATTACTGTAATACTTATTGTTGTAATAATTCTCATAATTATCCTCAGAAGGATCTCTAAGAAACCAGCAAAAACGACAGCTACTTCTAAACCTTTGCCCTCTTGACTGAGTCTCAACATCATTCTGCCATGGTTCTCTTTGAGAGTCAGACCGAGGAACTCCTTTGCTGTAGCGTTTTTTAACAGATTGAATCAGACGTTCTATCTTATCTGTCCGATCAGTTAACACGGTCCTCACCCCTCTCCTATAGGGTATGGTTTCACCAAGTAACCGCCCAGTTGGCTGACGTAGACATTCTGGTAGAATGAATGGCAATTTGATACTAGGGTTGGGCGTCAGGTTACTGAGGTTCTTTATTAACACTTCAGACATAGGTTGAGAGGCAACTGGAATCGCCTGGGAATTTTCATCGATGGATGTTTGAGGAGACTCCAGGGTCCAGGTTGGGTTAACCTCAGATGAATCCATTGGGAGTCTTGTCACAGCTTGAAGCTCCTCCTAGACCTTTGGGTTCCAGTGGCAGGTGATGCTTTAGACTCAAATTGCTACAAAGTAGCCTGGAAGAACTATAGAGCTAAGAAAGAGGGAGAAAAATCCAAGCTGACACACCGTGGAAATCCAACCTCATGGGGCTAGATCTTAACCACCCTTCAGGGTCTGGCTCAAAGTTCATGTCATGGGAACCTCCCTAATTTCTCTGGGTGATCTGTCCTCTAAACCATCAGGGTATTTGAGGTTCTCACCACATTCTACCTCATGGCATTGCCCTTTGCCCCCTCACCTTATCACTCCTCTTGGACTGTGGGTAGGGATCATGTTTGATGGATGTCTGTGCTCTAGCCAGGCCTGGCACAGATTCTGAGAGAGAGAGAGGGAGAGGGAGAGAGCAGTGAGAAAAGGGAGAGGAGAGGGAAAAGCAAAGCAAAGGAAGTAGGGAGGGGAGGGAAAGGGAGAGGAAAGGAGGGAAAGTGAAGGAGGTTATGGAAAGAAAAGAAAAAGAGAGGAAAGGAGGGGTGGGAGAGCGAGGAGGGGAAGGGGAAAAAAACCTTAGTAGAAATTTGGAAGTTAATGAATTAATTTTAAAAACCAGTAAAATTGGCTATTACCGCATTTTTTGAAAAGATGACTAAATTAAATCAAATCAAATTTGTATGGAGTTACCTTCAAAGCCTAAGAATGACCAAAGATGGCTACATTTCCAATGACTAAGTCACTGAACTTGTGGACATGTTCTAGATACTGTGGAATGTGCCAACAACTCCCTAGAACACACCTTGACATAGCTCAGCATTATACAGCTTTGCCTTTGACCACATCAAAAGATCATGTGGTCTCTGTTCTGAGAACAATTTTGAGTTTCTAATAATAACAGTAATAAAAACAATATTTGTTTAGCACTTATTATGTTCTAGGCACATAATGCCACATGTGTGTTCTTTCATTTAAAGTTTAAAAACCCTATGAGGTAGTTACTGTTCATTACCAACCCCATTCTACAAGTGAGGAAACTAAGTCGCGGTTGGTAAACATTAGAGCAGGGGTTTGACACCCTCATCCCCCAGCCCTTCCAGAGTCCCATCTTACCCTCTGCTCTATTCTACATTCATTTTTCAACAATACAATTTGACTGGACTGACACTTTTATATCCAGCCTGAACTAGGATTGCCAAAGAACAAAGTTTCAATGAAAAACTTCATAAGAAAACACATAATTTGTAGGTAAATAGGAACACAAATTATAAAAATGGCATCAGGACCAGAGACCTCAGGCCACCAAGTGAGAACAATAAGGAAGATAAGCTCCTCTTGGTCCTCTTAAATGAAGCAAAATAATACTAACTACTAATTTTCAAATGATTGCTTTGCAGTTTATAAACACTTTTTGTGTCAGTTTTCCTATTTTAGGCTCACAATTCTCCAAAGGCAAAACTATGGTATCCATTTTGCAGATGAGAAAACTCTTCATCAACAAGGCTTAGAATTGCCCAAGCCAGTCTGGTATGGGGAGCAGGAGGGAACAGAGACCTGAGGTCAGGTTTTCCCACGCTATACCTTGGCTGCTTCCTCTTTGTTTCAACAAGTCGTCCCCACGGTGTTTGTGACTCATGTATAAAAATCACCTTGAGGGACTTCCCTGGTGGTCCAGTGGTAAAGAATCTGCCTTCCAATACAGGGGACACGGGTTCAATCCCTGGTTGGGGAACTAAGATCCCGCATGCCACGGGGCAACTAAGCCCACGCCACAAATACTGAGCTTGCACACCTCAACGAGAGAGCCACGTGCTGCAAAACTACAGAGCCCACGTGCCCTGGAGCGCACGAGCCACAACTAGAGAGAGAAAACCCGCATGCCACAACTAGAGAGAAGCCTGTGCTCTGCAGCAAAGAGCCGCACACTGCAAGGAAAGATCCTGCATGCCTCAACGAAGGTCCTCTATGCTGCAACTAACACACAGCACAGCCAAAAATAAAATTAAATAAATAAATAAATAAAATGTTAATAAATAGATAAATATCACCTTGAATTCTACACTCTGTAACAAATAGCGTCCAGTTGCTCAGAATTTCTGATCTCTTAGCAACAGAACATCTGATTCCCCAAATCAAGCTGTCACCCTTTAGCCCAGTGTGGAAGCAAACAGACCTCTAGACTGTAATCCCTAAAAAGAGAAAAGCAAATTGGACCATTGAAACTCCCCAGCTCCCACAGGCCAGTGTTAATCCAATGCACCAACTGCATGCTTTAGTCTAGGCGAGCATTAAAGGCTGGAATTCATCTTATCACAGTCTGTAGCATCGCTAAATTGAAGGTGCTTGGATATATTTGCCTCTAAGCTCCATTCCTGTCATCACTTTTACCTCTGGGGTCTTTTAACTCGTAATTCTGTATAATGTAAAGTAGAAATCTATAGGCTACATAAATATGCCACAGTGAGACATTTTTCTTAGAATAAGGTAGTATCACTGGCTTTTCTCTTGTTTACTACTCTGTTAAGGACTCTGTAAAATCATGCATATTTTAATAACTATAAATGAAAAGTAACCTTTAAAAATTATATAATTAAAATTTTTTTTAATTAAAAAAAAGAAATTCATCCAACTTTTTAAGGGGGAAAAGAAGGCAAAGAGAGGGAGGGAGGGACTTCCCTGGTGGGGCAATGGTTAAGAATACGCCTGCCAATACAGGGGACGTGGGTTTGATCCCTGGTCTGGGAAGATCCCATATTAGTTGCCGTGGAGCAACTAAGCCTGTAAGCCACAACTACTGAGCCCATGTGCCACAGCTACTGAAGCCCACGTGCCTAGACCCTGTACTCTGCAACAAGAGAAGCCACCGCAATGAGAAGCCTGCGTGCAGCAGCAAAGACCCAATGCAGTCAAAAATAAATAAATAAACCAATAAATAAATTTTTAAAAGAAAAGAAAGGGAGGGAAAATGTGTCACTGTGAAGTGGTCACTGTGGGTGACCTCATCACCTTCTCTCCATTTTCAGCTTGGTGTTGTCCAGTATGGAAAGAACATGGGCTCCTTTGTGAGTTCAAATCTCAGCTCCAAACCAAATTGAAAAATCATTGCAACTCTCTGAACCTAATTTTCTTTATCCAGGAAGTGGGGATGATGCTACACATTTCATGGATGCTTGAAGAATTAAATGCATAATGTGCGTGACCTGGTCCGAGGTCTGGCCCGTAGCTGGGTGTGACAAATATTGGTTGGGTGTAGCTCTGTACCTCATTTCCAGAGTATGTTTCTCCTGAGATTTTTCTGTAACTAGGAACTTCTTTTCTCTTTAAGGAAACTTTAGAATCTCTAGGAGTCTATTTTTCCTTTCTGGGAAAGAAGTGCATTTACCTAGAAACAGCTATTTCCACTTCAGTCTGTTTCCCAGCTCTCTCAAGCAGTTAATGATCTATAAAATACTTAAATGCACCAGAAGACCTACCATGTTAAATAACTGCTTTGTAATGCAGATAGTCCAAATTGTTTGCCTGGCAAATCTAGACATTTTAACCCCTCAAGTCTCCTCTTTACCTCCTCTTTACCAAGAGAATTAACCAGACCAGTCCTTGAACTCTAAAAGAGTAGGATTTAAAATAACTCAAGAGTGGATTTCAAAGAATGGAATGTATACAGAAGACTTAGGTTTGACCTGGATAGAAAAATAAAGAAGAAAACCTGGGCATTTTTTATTTCCTGTGGACTTGGACTTTCTGAACCTGAAAATGCCAGACTAACTCTTATATTGAATGAAGTGAGTGACCTTGCTTATCTTCTTCCAACCTTGCTATAAGCGCCTCATCTCTTGAAATTTAAAAGCAGTTTGAGGCCAATTCTATGACTTATCCTCTACCCCTTTTTATCCTTTTTGCCACACCACCAGCAGGATCTTAGTTCCCTGTAGAAATCAAACCCGTGCCTCCTTCAGTGGAAGCAAGGAGTCTTAACCACTGGACCTCCAGGGAAGTCACTGACTCTTATGTAGGAGTTCATTCCACAACATGTAGTACTTCTGAGCTTGCCTTAAAAAGAAAATGTAACCCATTGTGAAGTTCCAAAGAGGTATTAGGAAATCAGTATTTTCCTAATACTGATTAGGAAAAAGAAAAAAGAAATTTCTTTTTTGGGTGATGGATACATTGCGGATGGATACATTGTCTTGGATCTGAGTAAGGTACCTGCAAGAGTCGAGCTCTATTGTCTCCTTAGTGGTCCCAGAATTTGGTTGGAAGTCCTCTGTACTGAAACCTCCCACCTTGGTAGGAGACAGGGTGTCCTCTGTTACCAGCTACGGTCCTCCAGGATCTCACTCCCCATCATCTCTGTTTTGTTCAAGTGGCCTTCAGGATTTCACTTCCTCTTTTGTTTGGGCTGCCAGCTTCTGTTCTTGGGATTTTGTTTTCCTTTTTTCTTTTTCTTCCTGGTAAATAATTACTTTTGGAATATGAGAAGTTCACTCTCTAAGGGCAGCCTCTTTCTTCATTAAACTTCTCCTGCTTTTATGTATAAGAACTATGGGCCTGGGCTTCCCTGGTGGCGCAGTGGTTGAGAGTCTGCCTGCCAATGCAGGGGACACGGGTTCGTGCCCTGGTCTGGGAAGATCCCACATGCCGCGGAGCGGCTGGGCCCTTGAGCCATGGCCGCTGAGCCTGCGTGTCCGGAGCCTGTGCTCCGCAACGGGAGAGGCCACAACAGTGAGAGGCCTGCGTACAGCAAAAAAAGAAAAAAATGAACTATGGGCCTTAGTCCTGCAAGTATTTGTCTTGCTGGACTACAATTACCTGGGATGATTTACAATAAAATTGGCCAACATGGGGCTCCTTTGAAACTCCTAAATTAGTTTGGGCAGTCAATTAAGAAAAGGATGTAAGGCAAGAATAGAAGCATATCTCAACTGGTATTTTTGAGGACTCAGAAAAACATAACAATGAATCCACTATTGCTTCCCTCAGAGAAACTAACTCACAATTATCTCAAAGGATTTCAGAACTGGAAATTCCTCTGAGGCTTCTGAGAGTTCTCTCCCTCTCTGTCTCTCTGTCTCTTTTAGTCTTACACCCTCTCACTCTCTCTCTCTCTCCCTCTGCTCCTTCCTTCTCCTCTGAATGTCCTCCTCCTTGCTATCCATCTCTTTCTGAGCTTTCTTTTTATAACAGCAAGATTGATCCACACAGAAGGCAACAACAATTCTATGATTATTATGACCATTTTGAAAAAAAATTTTTTGAAAAAAAAATTTTTTGAAAAAAATTCTGACCCTAAGGGGACAAAAGTCCTTCTAGGAAGAGCTTCCATTTCTCTCCCTCTACCTTTGAAATATAAATGTTTTACCTCATCTTCTCAGGGAACCCTTATCTAGACCATCTCCAATTCCTAAGACTGAAAAAGAAAAAAAAAAAAAAAAAAAGAGGCCTTTTAATTCAAATTGCTAGAAGGACTCTCTTGCCCAAATAACCTCCTTAAAATTACTTGTCAAGGGCAAATGCAAAGCTGATATCTTCTCCACACATAATAAAAGACTTTAGCCATCTGAGCTAGCAGATGTAATTCATTCCAACTGTTATTTATAAACTAGTGAGTTTTTGTGTTTTTTTTGCGGTACGCGGGCCTCTCACTGTTGCGGCCTCTTCCATTGCGGACCACAGGCTCCGGACGCGCAGGCTCAGCGGCCAAGGCTCACGAGCCCAGCCGCTCCTCGGCATGTGGGATCTTCCCGGACCGGGGCACGAGCCCGTGTCCCCTGCATCGGAAGGCGGACTCTCAACCACTGCGCCACCACGGAAGCCCGTGAGTTTTTTTATTGTACCTGATTCATGACTAAAGCTTTAAAACTAAATCTATGAGACTCTGTCTGTGCCTATCTGGATGTATGTATGTCCATGTATGTACCTTACAGATGTAGTATGCTTCTACTTTTGAATGGTATTGTCAAAATTAATTTGTAAAAGAGCTCTATTTAATTGCCTTAAAAAAATTAAGCTCTTAAATAAAATAAATTCTCAGAAATATAGTAGTAACCCAAATGAATTTCAGGTTCAAGAGAGCTGGGAAATATTCAGTATTAAAGTTAAAGTTCATTGATTTAATTAATGCAGACATGCCTTTAGTCATCAACATTAAGTATAATACTTTTATTGTACCTAGGTTTACTAAAAGTCAGATAAGTTTGTTATCTCTGTTACAAAATTTGTCAGCAATAAAAATAATTCAGTATGATATTTTCATATGTACATTAAATAAATGTAAATGAATAAGAGTTTTTAGGTGAACTCTTTAAGAATAGTTATGTTTTATGATGTGTCTATCTCAAAATGGTTCCCCCAAACCTTTTTGGAAACTTTAAAGTTTTGCTAGATTAAGTTAAATGATGGAAATTTATTAAATATCTAAATCATTTCCAAACAAAATAAGGTACTGAAACATTAATTACTGAATATAGGCTTCCTTTTACAGAGAAACATAAGATATTTGGGACTATTAGCAAATATTTTTGGTGCCACACTGAAATATTTTCTATAAGAAAGCACAAGTTTTTAAAAATTATAAAAAGTAATTATAAGTTTGCCAGTCTACAGAATACTACTGGAAAAGACAGTTCATAATTGCTTATTTCTTAGTTTTTACTAAAAATTAAGGTTTCTAAAGCTTAAAAATTCTAATTAATATACATAATTTAAACTATTAACATTAATAAGGAAAACATTTTCATATTCAAGGAAAAAAAATTTTAAAGGTACAGAAAACTGAAATACATTTTGTTAAGGGAAAAGAAAGTAATTCTGTCCTAAAGCTGGTTAGTTCTAAATGAGAAAGAAAAAAAGGGGGAAATTAAAACAGACATAGAAAGCTGTAGAAAATTTGTGGGAAAAAAAGAGTCTTTAGGGGCTTCCCTGGTGGCGCAGTGGTTGAGAGTCCGCCTGCCAATGCAGGGGACACAGTTTCGTGCCCCGGTCCAGGAAGGTCCCACATGCCATGGAGCGGCTGGGCCCGTGAGCCATGGCCACTAAGCCTGTGCATCTGGAGCCTGTGCTCCGCAACGGGAGAGGCCGCAGCAGTGAGAGGCCCGCGTACCGCAAAAAAGAAAAAAAAAAAAGAGTCTTTAGAGAGGAATTTTATGTGCCATCAGGACTGGCTAAGGTTCGAATGAATAAATTTCAATATCAAAAGTAAGCTGGTACAAAATTTGGTTTTCTGTTAAAAGGACAAAGTGTTTTGAGATTAATGGTCTGGTCTTAATGAGAAATTGTAAACAAAGATTTCTTTACCTTAATGTAATCTGTCTAGAAAAACAAAGATTCTATACTTTGTAGCTAAGACTATTTACAACTATATAACATTTATATTTACCTATGAAGTATTTAATTCTTATTTTGTTTAAATGAATAACTCAGCATTATTTCACAGTGACTTATGATCCTATTTGACCAAGTGTTTAAAAACAAAAATTTGATATTTTTGACAAACTTCCCAAAATCAAATTCTAAATGAAGTCTTTTAACTTAGATCTAACTTTGAGATATGAGATGTTTCAGAAGGCCCCTGAAATATCTCAGAGATTTGTCCTCTCTCCTTATAAAAAGGGAGATGTTAAACTAATTACGCTTATTTGACATGTTAAATCACACGGGAGGCATTGTCAAAACAAGAAGTAATACTAAGCCTGCTTTATGTTGTGTCTGTATAGGTATATAAGTGTTATAGAAACTATGAAATTTCTGGAATTCTGATTGTCCTGGCATAATGTTATCAATCATAATCCTAGTTACTATCTTAAAATGGTGTATGTCACAGAGATAACTTAATTTCCTTGTCAATTGCACTGTAATCAGCACTTTAACCATGCATTTTTCTTTTTAACATCTTTATTGGAGTATAATTGCTTTACAATGGTGTGTTAGTTTCTGCTGTATAACAAAGTGAATCAGCTATATGTATACATACACCCTCATATCCCCTCCCTCTTGTGTCTCCCTCCCACCCTCCATATCCCACCCCTCTAGGTGGTCATAAATCACCGAGCTGATCTCCCTGTGCTATGTGTCTGCTTCCCACTAGCTATCTATTCTACATTTTAACTCTTTTGTCATCTATAGACAGTTATTGTTTTACTGTGATGCTTTTACAAATATGTTTCATCCTTACAGAGATTCAGAAAGGCCTCTGATACTTTGTCTAGAGTACAGTTTTCTGATAAACTCTCAGATCATACTACTGAATTGGGTAAGAATTTACAGAACTCTAATGAAGAAACAGATGGCTTCAAAAAAGTGCTAACAAAAGATCAAGAATTAATTCCACAGGACTGAATGAACTGTGCAGGATGATTATAATTTTTGTTTAAAACATTGCTGGTTCTTTTACGTTTTGCTTTTCCAGATTTAAGGAAAACTTTTCTCTCAAGCTATCTATGACTTGCAGCAATTTGATAAATGATAACTTTGTAAACAAAGATAGAACATTTCTCTTTTTCTCCCTACCTGATCCCTCCAGAATTTGGAAACTCTTAGTGAGTATTCTTATTTTCATGGCAATATAGTTACTTGCATAAGTTCAATAAGAATCTGTTCTCCTTATAACAGGACACAATTGGAAACATTGGTTATATTATGAAGGCACTGACTGAAATGTCATATTTGACAGAGGCATTATTGACTCAGATATGACAAGACAGCTTTAAAGTACTAAGATTGACTTTATGGAGCCAATAATGACTCTTGGAAATATTTACCTAGTACCATGCATACAGGGTTTCCAGAAGTCTTACCAGGTGAGTAAGGAAGTTCAGTCCCTGGCAAGTGCAGGAACCTCAAGATAGTTTGGGGACCTCAAGAAGAGAGGAATTTACCCAAATCTGTACGTATTGCAGTCAGAGTCTGATGGCAAGTCCTTATTTGACTTTCCTGGCTTGAGAGGCCTTTTAAAAGTTCAATCTGATATTCCTTTTAAAAAGTTCCAGAAAAGCAGATTGAAAAGAGCCTCTATGATCAGTTGTTATTCTTTTCTTTTAAATTTTTATTGCAGTATAGTTGATTACAATGTTGTGTAAGTTTCAGGTGTAGAGCAAAGTGAATCAGTTATATGTAAACATATATCCACTCTTTGGTAGATTCTTTTCCCATATAGGCCATTACAGAGTACAAACCCCCAAAAATTAAGAAAATGGTAATAAGAACATACATATCAATAATTACCTTAAATGTAAATGAATTAAATGCTCCAACCAAAAGACATACACTGGCTGAATGGATACAAAAACAGGAACTGTATATATTCTGTCTACAAGAGGCCCAGTTCAGACCTAGGGACAGATACAGACTGAAAGTGAGGGGATGGAAAAACATATTCCATGCAAATGGAAATCAAAAGAAGTCTGGAGTAGCAGTTCTCATATCAGACAAAATAGACTTTAAAATAAGGACTATTACAAGCGACAAAGAAGGACACTACATAATGATCAAGGGACCAATCCAAGAAGAAGCTATAACAATTGTAAATATTTATGCACCCAACATAGGAGCACCTCAATACATAAGGCAAATGCTAACAGCCAAAAAAGGGGAACTTGACAGTAACACAATAATAGTAGGGG